ACCCTAATCTAAATATATCTTCACAGTCCTTAACAACCCAAAATTTATCCTAATATTGGGGTCCCCCTGGATGAAATCTTACCATACCGTGAAACCCATACCAGCACTAACTATTCCTCTTATGTGGGAACAGCCAATAAGCCAACCCTAAATATTGTCTGTAGGTCTCTTCTAACCCAAACCATAGCCCTAGTCTGTAGACTCCATAGATCCCAAGTGTAACACCTCTTTGGGAACCCACAACATTAATTCAACCCTAAAAACCCCTACCAACCCAGAGATCCCTACTAAACCCAACACGAACCTAATCTGGCACCACAACCCTAACTCTAGCTTAGGGACCTCTACCAACACTAAGCAAGCCTAGCCCTAGCACATCTATTGACCCCATTCTTAACTATAGCTCCAGAGCTGTTGTTGTCCCAACTGTAACCCTACCTTGAAACCACCTCAACTATAACTTGTGGGGTGGGAGGAGATCCTACCAAGTTAAACCCTAGTCTACCTCAGGGGAATTTAGCAATACCTACTCAATCTCTAGCCTGGCAACCCCAATTTGACTGGGAGCCACAGGAGTCATCCTGGGTCTAATATTAACCCTAACCCAGGGAGTTCTGTGGGGCTGACCTTAAAACACTCACCCTGGAATGAAATTCCCTAACAGGCTAAACCTTGATGTTACCTCAGTGGCCCTTTTCCCTGCAAGCACTTCTGGGTGTCCCTCTCTTCAGGAGCACTGCCAAACTTCCCTAACCATAGTCCAGAAGCCCCAACCCAGTATAACCCCAACTATAGTAAAGGCAGACCTACTGAGTGGGACTAGGTAGAATTAGGGTCGAACCTGGAAGGACTCCCCTTACTGTGTTTAGAATTTAGCCCAGTAGGGCTTCTGGAGCTATGCTTAGGGTTAGCCTAGCTGGGCTCCCAGTGTTTGGTTAGGGTTGGGCCTGGCAGAATTCCTGGTATTAAAGCTGAAGTTGAGGCCTGCAAGGGTCCCTGGACTAGGGTAAGTGTTGGTCCCAATTAACATCACTAGGCCACGATAAAGTTAATTTTTGTATTAACCAGAGGCTCCAGTTACTTTAAGTACAGCAGGCCAATCCTGCAGTGTGGGCAGGCAGCTGAGCAAAAGCGAGTGGCACTGCAATAATCTTGCTGTGTGAGACAGATGGCCAGGTAGCCTGAGGGTAAATGCTGCAAGCAGCTGGGTTAGAGTGCAGTAGGGAAGGACAGGCTGGCCTTTTGACAAAAGATTAAACCTGTGCATAGCTAAGTCATGTGTTTGGAAAGGGCAGAGTTTGGAAGCATAAGCCTGGAGCAAGGGGATCAGTTTGGCTCTGCATGCTGCAGGGGGAAGATCTCCTGAGAGAGAAGGGCTGCAGGAGACAGATGGGCAGACACCCAAGCCTCCCAAGAGACCTGGAATGAGAGAGAAGTATGATGTCCCTCCCACAAGGGAAGTATGACTTGTAGGAGAGACGTTGACCCAGAGCGGGGAAAATTTTAATTTGTAAAACAACTTGCCTGTGTTTATGTTTCATTTAGCCTTGATACCAGAGGATTGGGTTGGGGCTACAGGTAGATGTGGAGGCCACAGAGGGGTGCCTGATAGGGTACTTTGTCACAGTAGCCTAGCCTAGGGTCAGATACCTTTGGCTTAACTTACTAAGCACTGGCCCTTAGTTTAGTGAGTTAGGGCTTAGTGAGTTAGGACAAGATTGGGAGGGTCAAGACCACAGGGAATGAATGCCTCCCAGCCTGGGGTCAGGGACCCAAAGAGCTGAGGGCTGGGCTGGTGCACAAGAGCTCAGGACAGGGCCAGGGGTCCGGAGCACAAGACAGGACCAGCAGCCCAGACCACATGAGCGAGAGATAGGGCTGGGTCTCAGGAGACAGGGTTGGCAGCAGTGAACCTGGGCTGAGGAATGCAGCCAGAATAAAATGGCCAAGGCTGGGAAGGCTGAGGCCCAGCCAAAGTTTTGAGGCCAGGGGACCAATCTGTGTTTGGGACAGGGTGCCCCCTCTGAATGAATATGAAGTGACAACTTCATGAACATGACTACAGGGGAGGACAGATATAACCCATAAAGCAACTGGTGCCCTGAGACACTGGAGGGCCATAATTTAGTAGTTGAGGGGCAAGACTGAGGCCAGCTGGGTATGGGAAGTACCAGATAGCTAAAGGGAACCACAGCTCACTCTGGGATCCTGGAGCAGCCTCCCTAAACATCTTTAAAGTTCCATCAAAACATGGCAGGTGAGGTAGAAAGGGAGGGTACCCAGAAGAGCTGCTGCCCCTGGGGCCTGGTTCTGCTACACCACTAGAACCAATACAACTGAACTCAAAGCACTACAACAGTCAGGCACAGTGAGCACAGTGTCTCTTTGGTAAACCATGGGGAAAAGACAACATTCAACATTCAGGTATTAGCTATAAGAAGGAACGAAGAAGAAGTCTTAGTCAAGTAGTAAAATAGATTTACAGAGGCCAGTTACGAACTCAGAAAGATGACTTCTACTCAGTCATAATATTTAAACCAACCATAATCTATACTAATCAATTAATAAAAATTACCTTGCTATCTAACCAGTCTCTTGGTTGGCGGTATTCTCAAGGCTTCATGTTGGTCTCAAAGAAGGATTCACAAGATAACCAGGAATGGTGACTTTATGGTCCATTTTGGAGAACATGATCTGAAAGAAACTTTGGTACTAGGTAACTGGCAGTAGAAAAAGCTCTGCTATTAACTGCCTTCAGAACTTCTATGTTTTGTAAAAAGCTCCACTAATGTCTTACAACTTTTCTAGATGTCTTCCACAGGTCATATCATGGTGCTTGCTGTATGATCATTCAAGAGAATATGGTGACATGAGACCTTTCCCTTCCTGCATTGAGTACATACTATATGGGGTATGGGGGAGCAGAAGAAAGGGATGACAGAGAAGGAACAAAGAAGGAAAAGGAAAAGATTCTTAATTCTTTAATTATCAGTTAATTTACCAGAGTGTTATCTGATTGTCACTTCCTAGTACGAAGCATAAGCATCATGGATGATTAAAAACGTCAATAGCATATTCGGCCAACTATAATGTATATTTCAGCCATGGTTTATTTTTAGTTAGCTTGGGAGAATACAGATTTACAAAATGGCAATGAAACAACAATATATTAAAAGAGGCAATAGGGGATATTGGTATTTTGGTCTATTGAAATGTAGCATTATTTTCATTTCCCAGTGAAATACTAACAGCTAATATTTATTCTCTTTTTGCTAATTGTACAAAAACAGACAAGATCTGACAAATGGCGCACGTATTTTTCCCATCCAAAAGGAAGCAGGATCCAATCCTTTATACATTTATACTTAGCAGAGCTCTTCCTACAACATATAGTTCACTGGCACCTCTCCATTACTCCCCCCAGTAACAAGTACAATTTCTGATATTATTTGCAGGATCAAACCAAAGGTATTTTATTACAGTTTGATAGAACATTAATTTTAACATAACAATGTCATACTGTAAAAGCTAACAAAATATTTTGATTGACAAATGTTTTATGCCACATACAGGCATTTAGTTTCTACCAGGAGAATCATAGCTCTCATAGTATAAACCATAAGCATAAAGTAATTCACAGATTTTCTCCCAGAACAAAAATGGTAGTTCTGGGAGAAAAATAACCCATCTTCAGTCCAATAGATGTCACTCCTGGGAGAGTTTCTCCTAGCAGGATAAATATCTGTACACTTTCCTGCTGCTTGAGTCCTTCAGGGGACCAACAGGAGTTTAGTGGGAGTGCAATGCTTCCCCTGCCTTCCCAAGGGTTGGAAAAAAATCAAGCAGTGGAAAAATGTTCCCCATGCCTTCCTGAGACCAGGAGCCAAGCAGAGGAGCAACCATTCTTTGCTTCCCATCCTTTCCTCAGGCTGGGGTCCCTGGAGTGAGGGGTGGGTGGGGAGCTTTGGTCCCACTGCTCCTGTCCCCTCAGGAACAGGGGAATGGAGCAGCAGCTGCTTCCCACACTTTCCCTATACTGGGATTACCCAGTCTTTGGCAGGTACAAGCAGAAGGGGAGAGGGGGAGGTTTCACACTGAACAACTCTCCCAGAAACATTTTTAGTGCCAGTCCCTTGCTGTTCAATGTTCCTTCTGAATTTGTTGCATGAAAGGGTCACTTACCGTTTTTATACTTTTTGACATGCAATCTTAAATGCTAACCTCATTAAATGTAAATAAGCATCGAAAGAGGGATTGCTTTAAACCAGACTACCTCATTCTTTAGGTCAGGGGTTTTCAACCTTTTTGGATCAGTGTACCCCTGGTGGCTGGATGCAGAGCAGTGTACCCCCCGTGGCCAAATGCGGAGCGGGGTGGGGGGGGAAGGGGATGTTGCAAGGCTGAATGAGGAGCAGCAGCAGCCACCATGTGCAAGCTTTCCCTGTCTCCTGTGTCTGGTCAGGCAGGTGGCACCTGCATGGCAGCATAGGATGATGTGCGGTAGCGCTCCATCCCCACCCACCCGCATGTACCCCCTAGGGGCCTTCTCAAGTACCCCTGGGGATATGCATACCCTTGGTTAACAACTCCTGCTTTAGGTCATCACTTCAAATCCATTTGTAGATCCAACAGGAAACCCATTTTGCACATTCCTTACAGGGCAGAAGATTCATACAGATATTAAAATGTATTTGCACCAGTTAAACAAATAAATGTTTTATTTATTTGTTTCTCTTGTTCCACTGTTTCTTGCATTAGAATGATATACCTCCACATACACTAATATAAGGTTCTTTTACATTGCAAACTTTGTCTAAAGTGTATAGTATAGAGCTCAGCACACTGTAAATATTAAACCAGTCTTTCATGAATATAACAAAAGAACCAAGGTTCATTTGGTGCAAGTTCCAGGCAGTAGTGGGAAAAGGTTTAAGGTACTATGGTTAGCTACCTGAACAGATTTGACACGTGAGTAAGCAAGCATTTGTCAACTCCTTCACTGTTAGCTCTTGCTTCATAAATACGATCTCCAAACAACAGAGAATGGTCCAACAGTTCTAAGTGCATTACTCTAAAAATAATTGAGTTCTGGAAGAGTCCTTTTGAAAAATTTTACCCAGTAGAATCATTTTTAGTGCCCTGCGAAACCATGTGTAAAAAAAGGCATAAACTATTGGGTTAAATGTAGAATTCAAGTAACCAAACCAAACCAATGCATCTATGAGAACAGGAGGTGTGACATAATTCATAAAGGGATCAGTGGCAGTACAGAAAAAAAATGGAGTCCAACATAAAAGAAAAACTCCCATCACTATGCCTAGGGTTTTTGCGGCTTTTCTCTCTCTGCTTCGTGAAATGTGGTGCTTCATTTCAAGTCGGATCTGAGTTTGGCTACTTGTATCTTTAATAGATCTTGCCTGCCTCTTTGCTATGGCGTATATTTTCCCATAGACACATAACATAACAAATCCAGGGATGTAGAAGGAAAACATGGAGGCTATCACACCTGATGTTTCACTAAAAAAGACAAAGCAGCCTCCTACGCAATGGATGTGATTATAGAAAATCTCTTCAGCTCCTCTTACGTTTAGCTCCAGAAAGATCATGACAAAGGCAAAAATAGCAGGGATGGTCCAACTAATGAAGATCATGACCAGTATGATGAAAGTATTTATCTTCGATTTGTATCTCAGTGGGTCACACACAGCATAGTAGCGATCAACAGAAATGAAGGAGAGATGGAAAATGGAGGCCGTACTCAACATGATATCAGTGCTAGTATGGATTTTGCAGAAGAGTTCTCCAAAGTACCAGCAGTGTTCAACAGAGCGCACCATGCTGTAAGGCATGACAAAACATCCCAACAAGAAATCAACAGCGGCCATGGAAAGGATCAGGAAATTTGTAGGTGTATGGAGCTGCTTGAAGTGTGATATTGAGATGATAACAGTCAGGTTTCCAGCTACAGTGGCAAGAATGATCCACACCATGAGGATATACATGGAAATGCGAATGCTGTTTGACCAGCTGCTCTTTATGCAAGAGCCATTTACAGATTCACAGCAAAACTGCATCCTTCCTGAGAGCTCAGACCCACTTAAGTACACAGGATATTGCATGGGCGCCTTCTGTCCTAATGCTGAAATACATTTAGAGTTGTTTATGTTTTCCTCTGCTGTGCATCCAGCCAGGGTAACTACAGAGAGAAAAGAAAGGAAAACATAAAATCATCTACTGGAACATTTATGAAATTAATTATTCTTAGTTCCTTAAATCATTGGAAAGGATTAAACAGAAATATACTTTTATAATTAGACTCTTGAACTAAGAACCTTCTTTGGCTATATCATGTCCTACCTATTTCAACATCATAAAAGTCCTTGCTTATCCTTATCTCTTTATTAAAGCAGTAGCGTCACAAAGCTGCATTAGGGAAGGTGTTTTATTGTATATAGATCCTTGTTTACAATAGTGAAGAGACATGTGTTGCTCACCACTTTTCATTCTTTAAAAAGATCTTTTCTGAATTATACCTTTTCTTATATTTCTAAAATAAAGTCACTGTCTTACAGCAATCACACTCCTCTTTAAAATCATTTACTTTAGATTCTTCAGCCCACTTGACCGTTGTTTCCCTGAGACATAAATCAAAGGTCTAGAATTCTAACTGGATTGCACAACCATGCAGCTGGCAATACCTGGAGAGCAAGAAGAGTCTTCAAGGAGATTCAGACCTGTTGATAAATAGCCTACAACCTGCAAAGTGAAAACATTACTAATTTCACTTCCTTTTTTATGTCTGTAGTCCTGTTCTCTCTTTATCTTAATTTTTATTGGCTGCAATGATGACAATGCTTTCCAGGATTCTTGGTATTATTTGGGCTGCTAACATGAATGGGAGCAGGAGGCGATCTATCTAGAATTATCCAGCCTTAGAAACAGTGGGTGTGTCTACACGTGCACTTTAATGTGCAATAGCCTATAGTACTGCTTGTGGGGGCCGAGGGGGATCCGGGAAAGGTTTGGCTGGGTTGTGGCCACAAACCCGGCACGTACAGATGGGTACTTTCGACTGCTGGAGTAGAATCAGGCACAAACGCGCACTGGTTCAAAGATGGCTTTACTTACACTGTCGAGATGTACAGCGTAGGAAGAAAGTTAACTTCAAACTTCAGTTACACTTTAACCGAGGAGCTCTGATTCGACGAGATATCTTTGATATGAGCATGCAGGACACGGGGGTACGTCGGGGTTGGTCGGCAACGGGGAGTCATCAGCGGTTGATCAGTCCGCCACGTTCACTCCGAGATGGGTGCGGAGTTCTCCAACTTGGGCGGAAACTGCTCCAACCTTTTATACGGCTAGCGAGCCAATTGCTAGTCGCCACGTAGGAATAATTTAGAACTGGCCAATAGTAATGTGTGAATTTGCATATGAGTGGCAGGAACCTTTCCACGCCGGGGTTCTCCACCGTGCCGAGAAATTCCCTCGTACAAAATCTCACCGTGCCTTGTGCTAGAAAGTTCCACTGTGCCGAGGCATTCAACCACTAAGCTCTGCTCTGACACTGCTCATTAAAGTGGCGTGTAAAAAGCCATGGTAATATAGTAATGCACAGTAGAAAAAGCTCTTTAATACATGTGTAAACACACCCAGGGTACTTTTACATGTGCTGTGGGGTTGGGGTGGGAGGCACTTTAATTAAAGTCTGCTTTAATACGCTGGAATTCCAACACGTTGGAGCAGCCTCCATGCTCATGTATAGGCTCCCCCAGTGTGGGCAGGCTTAGAAAGTGTGTGGGCATTGGTGACACATAGAGGGTGCACACAGGTGCATGTGCACCCCCTGAGATCGGCCATGCAGACCCTGGAAGCGCCAACCGCAAAACCAGAAGTGCTGGCAAAAGTGCTGGTGGAAACTGTCCCTCCCCTCCCCCCCCCCATCGGCAATCTGGTGCTCCCCCTGAATCAGGAGGCACCAGTCACCCATGTGTGGGTCTGTGTCCCATTTCCCATTTCCTTTGGTCTCTGTGGGACAAGAAATACAATGGCCTCACTGTGCATAGGAGGCAATAGTAGGCAGGCATAGTAGGAGGAGGCATAGGAGTAGGAGGAGGCAGGTAGTAAAGTACATTTTCACCTACATTTCCTTGGCTATTTTAATGTTAGAAGACCTATATGTTTCTGTAATACCGCCTAAACATTGTACAGAAATCTTTGTATTTTTTTTAAAGATATGTTAGCATCTCTGCATGTAGTACCTGCCAGGCCTTTGAACACTCAAGCCAGAATTCTGTTTCCCTGTGTGCCTAAATGAAAGGGAATTGCATTTTCTTACATTTCTGGCCATCATTCTGAATGCATAAATGTGTATAAATCACAAAAATGTAGCCAACCAGAAACTCTCAACTAGCAGGTGTCGACACCAGGGAAGGAGAAAAAAAACGAGACCCCTGGCAACCATAAGAGGGAGATATGTGGGGCCAGGTGGAAGAGGACAAATGGGAGAGTGTGAGGTTCAGAAATGCCAGCTACTCTGAATGGGAAAGGACATGGATTCTAGCCCAGGCTGTTGCTCCCAGTGGGGTATAAACCTCCCTATTGCACTGCTCTCCATTCATTTTATCCAATGCTATTACATGCAAAGAGCACTGATACATCTTCACAAGGAGTGCTGCTCAGGGCTCTGGAAAATGCCTAGCCTGTGGTGTGGTTGTTAGAGCAGTATGCTGGAGAGTCAGAAAGATGAAAGTTTAAACTGCTTCTCAGACAGGGGACTGGGAACCTGGGTCTCCTGCTTCCTGAGCAAGTGCCCTAACCACTCAGTTACTCTAGTTAAACCATGAAAGAGCTCCCCACCCTGCTTCAGGTATATGTAGCTGGGTATATGCATGGCCAGCATGTAACCTACTGTTCATACTCAGTCTACATGTATGTGTGCTTACATGTCCACAGTGCTAAATGCTTACATGTGAAGCTGGAAAACTAATATTCAGATACACGTAGGGAAATAGTATTCTGCTTTCCATGAATAAATGTAGTGTCTCTATAGTTTTAAATTCAGAGATTGAGTTCTGTTTCCATCTCTGTCACTGGTCTGCTAAGTAATGCTGGACAAGCTGCTTTTCTCTGTGTACTTTAATTTCCATATCTGTGAAATGAAGAAAAATGATCCTTTACCTTCTTTGTGGAACATGTTAACATCTATTAAACACTATGTAAGAACTATGTATTATTGGTATATGACCCAGTTCTGCATAGGTAGAACCCCATGGACTTCAGTGAGACTCCATGTGAATTCAGGAATCTAACACGCAGCAGTTGGAAGGATCAGGCTTACACATGGAAAAGTATAATATTTCTGGAAAGAATTAGGTTGTGGATTAAAAAGATCCAGTCGGTGCTGGTGAGCAGAGAAAAGCATTTTGAAGTGTTTATAGACATGGTGTGTTCTCATCTGGTTCAAGGTACATATTCTCAAATGGTCATTTCAGTACTTAACTATAGGAATACACCTTGCATCCTTAATGATGCTAGACTCTGACATAGGAGAACATGAGAGTACCATTTCTTATCATCTCCGTTTGGCTAACAGACTGTCACATCCTAGTAGTTGATGAACTGGCTTCAGTTATTTATGCCCTTTTTACCTCTTAGCTGAACTACTTCAGTGCAATAGTACAGCATAAGAAATTCCAACTAGCAGACAGCACTAAAGCATATATCCTCAACAATGCAGGTTATCTCCTCTCACTGAGCACTTGCTTTGTATGAAATTTCAAGTCAAGACAAAATCAGTCATACCAAGTCATTATCTTCAATGTATTCTGCAACCTAGGTTCATGCTAGTCAAAAGACTGTTTAAATCTTCCACGGAAAGACTTTGGCTGATAGCATAATTCCTCTTGCCCAGTGGAACTATACAACAAAGATTTATCTGTGCAATAGACAGTTTTCTTGGTTAAGTCTAGGAAATGAACTCCCCTAACATCTTGGGACATCTCAAACCTCAATACCTTCTACTCTGTTTCTTTAATATTTCCTTCACTGTAATTCTGAAAGGTGCTCAGACATTACATTGATGTGCCTAGCAAAGGAGTTTATACAGGTTCAACTAGAAGAATCAAAATGTAAAAAGGCTGCTCCAAGCAGGCTCGATATGCTGCAGAGGAGCTGGCTGGGACACAAGGGTGCTTCGGTGCAGGCAAGCCCCACACTGAAGTACCTTCATGCCCCAGCCAGCTGGGTCAGTGTTTACACACGCACTGCTATTCACAAAAAAAAAAAAATCTGCAGCAGGGTAGTACTTGTATTTACACATACTACCCTGCTGTGGAGGTTATTAGTTTCCTACCCCCTAATAGCGGTGTACATGGAGACACTGAGACATTTAATGCACAGTTAGTCAACTGCACAGTAAACATCTTGCGTAAATGCACCCACTTCTAATTAGACACTGAACCAAGCACAAAGTGTGCACATTTGTACATTTTTACAAATATATAATGTGTATTTGATTTACACATTTTCGTATGTGTGTAACAATATAAGTATACCTTAAATATAATTCAGGCTGCATCAAGGGAAGTTTAGGTTAGATATTAGGAAAAACTTTCTCACTAGGAGGATAGTAAAGCACTGGAACAGGCTGCCCAGAATGTTTGTGGAATCTCCATCCTTGGTGGTGTTTAAGAGTTAGCTAAACAAAGTGACGGCTGGGATGGTCCTTTGAGCAGGGGATTGAATGAGATGACCGCTTGAGGTTCCTTCCAACTTTCATTTTCTATGACTCTATAATGCTATTAAAATGGCCTTGCTTAAACTAGGTCAACTGTCAATAATTCAATTCACTTAATTAAATTATTTCCTTTTAAATCTTGTTATTTCTTCCTGATTCAGATACAATGTCAAAATAAAGTAGTGGTGACTGGTATGAATTACTCCATGTTTCTGTAGACTTGTTTTTAACTTGATGTAGTGAAAATGGCACTCGAATCATGTAGACAGAACATGGCATAATGACACTAGAAGAAACCACCTAGCATTTTACAGTAGCTTTATAGAAGAGAGAATTTATTTTAGATTTAGAGATAACTTAAAAAAAAACAAAAACATGTTCTATGATGAATTGCAGCCCAGGTCATCATGGGCATTTAGGTGCTTAGGATAATGAGAGTTAAAGCACCGAAGTACCTT